CAGAGTCCCAGTATGTCCAACACCTCCAGCTATGAGTCCACTTCCTCCACCAAGAGGCCCAGTACCCCTAAACAAAAGTCCAGCACACCCAGTGCCTCTGACCAGCAACCCAGCTTCTCCATCCAAAGGCCCGCCACCTTGAACCAGAGGTCCAGAATGTCCAGTGAATCCAACCAGAGACCCAGGGAGTCCACCCAGGTACCCAATACCTCCACCCAGAGACCCAACATCCCCACCCAGAAGTCCAGAATGCCCAGTGGATCCGATCACGGACCAAGCATGTCCAAAGCCTCCAGCTATGAGCCCACTTCCTCCAACCAGAGACCCAGAGAATCCAACCAGGTACCCAATGCCTCCAACCAGAGACCAGCGATGACCAGCAGCTCCAGCCAGAAGCCCAGCATCATCAGCCAAATACCCAGCTCCTCCAATCCGAGGCCCAGCACTTCCAGCCTCAAACCCAGCATGCCCAGCACCTCCAGCTTGGCAGTGCGAGGTCCATCCCTAGCCAGCAGTCCAACAACCCCACCAGAGGTGCAGCACCCCAAAACAGCGGCCCAGCTGCCTAACAAGAGACCCAGCACCTCTATCCACTGGACCAACACCCCACGCAGTGTCCCAGCATCTCCAAGCAGAGACGTCACTCGCTTAGAAAGAGATCCAACAACGCCAACCAGAGGTCCAAGCTCCCCAGTCATAAAGCCAACATCTCTGACAAAAGGACCTATTTCTCCAACTAGAAACCCACCGTCCCCCATCAGGGGCTCAACACTCCTAACAAGAGGTCCATCCCCAGCAACCAGAAGCCCAGGAGCCCCAAGCAAGGGACCCGAAACCTACAACCAGGAAGGCAGCACCTTACACAGGAAGCCCGTGTTTTCTTCACAGATTTCCAGCAACTCCAAGCAGGAGACTGGTGGCTCCTTCAACACCCGCCAGAGGCTGAGCTCCACTGAGCAGAGGCCCAGCCCTGCCAACCCGGACCCCGGCCGGACATCCAACAGCTTCCGTCGGAGGATTACATCTCTGCTGGATGCCCACCAGAGGCTGAGCTCCACTGAGCAGAGGTCCAACACCTCCCGCCAGACCCCCAGCCAGACATCTGACAGCCTCCGTCAGAGGATTAGATCTCTGCTGGATGCCCACCAGAGGTCCAGGACCCCTGACAAGAGATAAAACCTTCGGACCAGGCTCCAGGCCCTCATCCAGATGTCCAGCCATCATGACCACAATTCCAGCTCCCCTGAGAGGACGGTCCACCCGTCCCGGCGCTGGCTCTGGACAGTCAGTGCCTAGTATCAGAGATCAGAGCTCAGCACGGACGTGTCATCTCCTCCATATCAAGAACTGGCAGTTCCTGCTGTGAAAGCACGAAAAGTCATCCGTGATGGTCCTGGAACCCGTCCGGGTCTTTAGGTGAGGAGTCCCAGGTCAGATCTGAGCCAAGCAGCGTGCACCTGAAGCTCCTGTTGGCAGTGTGAAAAAGAACTCTATTCTTCGTCTTCGTGACATCGCGCGGATCTGTATGCATCTCTCCTAGTCTGATGCCGAAAGGCGATTGTCAACCTTTTCCGAGGCTGGTTGTTGGAATGCAATCATGTTTTCACAGCGAACCAGATCTTAAGCTGCAGGGCGCTCAGAGCTCAGCGGCTCAGATTTTAACATCAGCGCGTGAGCACCTTTCACCTCTTCTCATCTTCCTTGCACTGGCTTCCTGCGATGAAGGAAATCCCTGGACAGGTGACTTCCTGCTCCCTCTCTTCCCAACGGCTGGCTCTGAGCACCCGGAGATCCTGGGATCTGGGGGTTCCTCTTCTCCCAGCCCCCACCTGTCTGATCCTGCCAGTCAGTGAGCCAGCACTTTCAACTCAGGGAAAAAAAAACTCCTTTTTATACAGCCGATTTGAATTTTATCTGCTTTTCTGTATCACTCGAAAACCTGTCCCGTTTGGTGGACTGTTTGATCGCAAGGCATAATATTTGTTATTTCATGAAAAATAAAATATAAAGTATTTTGTTTTTAGTCTCCTGTGAATCTCTTTTTTTTATTGTGAGCACATGGTCCTGCCTCTGGGGGGGCATGACTCACACAGCACATAACCCCTCCCCCCCTTGGAGGAGTCTACCCTCATGAACCCCTAAAATGAAATCGGGGGGCAGCAGCAGGGCCTCTGTACTGCACAGAGTACAGAGGGGGACTACAGCCCCCCCCATCAGCGGAGCCACGGACACCAGACAGTGGATATCAAGATGGGCCCGGGTCCGGCCATTGTCCAGACCCCCAGCAAAAGACCCCATGACAGCTGACTGAGGGCGATTAGGCCAGGAGGTGTGGGCTGTCCTGCCGATGACTCACAGGAAGGGAGGTGCAGTTTTCAATTCAATTCAAGTTTTGTTTTCACCATACCATTTTGTTTTCACTCTCTAGCAAAGGACCTGCCAGAGACGGCTCATGACTCATCGAGTCAGATCGCACCCGACCTCAGGCCCAGCCGATCACGGGAACCACACCCCCACGGGCCAGGGCGCCAATTTCAAACAGGCTGCGACTGGATCGGCTCATTGTCTCGTACCAATTAAAGAAGACTACACTTACAGCTTTTATTTGCGTTAGCCAAGACCTGAGAACGTCCACTACCGGGTAAGTTTGCTTCTCTAAATGTCTGCAGTTCATTAATTAAGTTCCTTTCCTGCTTTGTTCAAGTATACGAGGTTTGTGTCCCCTGTTAGTATCTTTACTGAGTGCACTGTTCTCATCTCCAACCTCTTACTGTTACTTTACCATTGCTTTACTCATTAGTAAGGTGCTACCCTTTAAAATAACACAGTAGAAATGTACATGAACAGCAATAATATCGCTGTTGAATATGAACGTAACTTGCAGATGGAAGAGATTCAATTCTTCTTTATTGTAACTAAATCTGATGAGAAACAGGAGGATGGGGGGGGTCTAACACATGTGATTTGTTCTTGGGATAACAATGGGACAAAGGGAATAAAAAGGAGATCCAGGTTCCTGAGACGGCTGGGAAGTCCAGAGTGGAACAGGTGGACTACGTATGCGACTCGAGTTAAAAAAAAAGCAAGAGGAATATTTTAGCGTGTGTTAAACTGGGCCGTTAATTTTCACTTACATGTTGTACGGGTGTTATCCGTGTTAGAGCTGCACTGCCTTATCCGACTCAGCGCGTTGTGCTGGAGGGGCTGGGGGGCTGGTTTTTTTACATCTGGGCCAGAACTGACTGCGGTTATTGAGACAGTTGATCACCCTCAGTATGCTTTAAGCTACTGTTCAAAAACAGAACTTTTTTTCCCCACCCGCGATCTGGTCATCGTAACAGAGCTATTTTTGGAGATGTGAGAGAGTGCTATTGTACTTGGCGGTAGAGCAGGAAGCGCTCACACTGCCAGTTTACCATCTGGGCTACAGCCAGAGCGAAGCCCGCCACAGGAGGCCAGCAGGGGGAGGGGCTGCTGTGCGATTGGCTCATCCATATTACCTGACAGGCAGCGCCTGAGGAAGCTGACAGCTTATCAAGAATACCACAATGTCCCCCAGCTCCTACCGGGCAAGTGCATGAGCTTCCAGCACAAGCCCTGACAGAGCAGATCGGCTCATTGAAATATGCTACACTACATAATAAAGCGGGTTATTCATCAGCAGAGACGCATTTTAATTCAAATTTCCTAGGGCACTTTGACTAGAACAATAAAACTGAGCCGTATGCAATTTAGTAGTTTGGAACACTCAAATAGTTCAAGCAAACACCAGCTCCTCCTGGATGTTGCAGTGAAGATTCTCAATCTCAGCGATGCAATCAGAGGACTTCACTGCCACTCTTCCAAGAGCTATTTGACCGAAGAGCAAGTGTGCCGATCTGTCAAATCTTTAGAAACTCGGGTGTGGATGCTCCTAGTCCCACAGGAAAGCCAGTGGGCAGTAGTGGCGTCACCCATTTCAATATCAGGCCGAGAGCCTGACTTGTTCAGGGCTCTCTGCGCAAGTTGAAATGGCAGGCGCGTGGCTGTTTCCCAGCCTGGAGATGGATGGGCTGGCTCACCTGGGGAAGGAGCAGCTGAGGCAGGTGTTCCGGGGCAGGAAGAGCGAGATCGCCTCCATCCAGGACCCCTTCCTGCTGCTCAGCGACCTGAGGGACAACGACATCATCCCAGAGGGCAGTTACAAGGTACGGAGGCAGGGAGCAGCGAGCAGCCAGCCAGCCAGCCCCTGGGCTGTCAGGGCCAGTGGAGCAAGGCTCGGCTCTGCTCCAGTAGTGTCCTCTACCAGAGTAGCAATGCACTGTGACAGCACAGGCAATCCAGGAAAAATCACATTAACACAAATGACTGCAATATGGGGGTGCATCTTAATTAACAACTCTTTGCTTTAACGTGCATTTATGGGGGGGGTCTCTGGTGGCACGCTTAGTCCCATTTTGGTGGCAAGACAACCCTCTGCTGAGTCCAACACTGTAGGGTCATCAGCCACTAGTCCTTCTGATCCCTTGGTCTTCAGTTGCAGAGCCGACTCAATCAGCAGTGAAACACTGAACAAGCTGGTAAGAGGAGGGAACTAGAGGACCCAGCCCTGGCTGGTGGATGCTGCTCAATTCACACCTGCACTTCATCCCTAGAGGCTTCAATCCCAAGGGCCTCAGACACAGGCAGAGGGTGTTAGGGTTTCCAAAGCATTCTCCCCTCTCCTGTCCAGGGGAAATCCAGGAGGTCCCTCCTGGACAAGTCTGTACAGCTCTTGATCCTTGTTCTCCTCCGGCTGGGGCTCTCGTGCAGGAGCTGCTGGGTCTGCCCCTGAAGGAGCGGGTCGAGGGGATGTACAAGCTGCTGGAGCGGCTGGAGAGGAAGACTCCGGAGAGGATCCCCGCCTTCATGCAAACCCTGCTGAAGGAGCACATCCGGAAAAGCAGCCCGGAGCTGCAGGCCCTGCACCTGCAGCTGCGGGAGGGTACGTCCCCCACAGGAGACCGGGAGACGGGTCCTCTTCAGGGAACTACAGCACCCGTTCCTCACCGCCTCCGACACCCACACAGCCTCCACGGGGGAGAACTCTTCCCTAGTGGGTCACTTCGATTCATTTTTTAAGGTTTTCTTTTTCCAAAAACGTTGAGCTGTAGAAGACATAGGACTCTGTGATCAGGAGGAGTTATCAGAGATCACAGCTGGTACAGCTGATGACGGCTCACAGGTGGTGCTCCCCATCTTGCTGTGGGAAGCCACAAAGGACTATGAAAAGCGCTGCCCTGACCAGGGGATTCCCCAGCGTTATCGCATGTAGAAACATACCATGGTAAAGCACAGAATGACTGATCTTCTGCTGTTTCAGACAATATTTATATTTAAGCATATATTTACTAGTTTCTTGCTTGAAAGACAATTAAACAAGAAATACAAAGTCAGCATCCCCCCAAAACAACAACAAAAAAAAACCCACAACTGACCCATGACCACTACTGCCCTGCAAACCCTTCTTATACCAAAACCTTAACTGCATCCATGTGACAATGTCAATTCCTAAAACCTTGACCAATTAACCAATAACTGTAGGATTCACCTCTAGTGTGGCTTGTTGGCTTGTTTAGAGGTACATTAGAGGCCCCACAGTGACCTCTAGTGGCAGGTCCGCTGTAATTTCACCCCTTTCATTAGCTGACCTGTCGCAATACTTTCACACAACCTATCGTGCTCCACAGGTACCCCTCAACCTTCGGGCCTGAGGAACCCAGAGTCACCCTCTTACCACAAGATCGTTGTGCCGGTGGAGTGTGGCCACAAACGAGGGCTTTTCTACGCGGACAAGCTGCAGGAAGGTAGGATCCAGCTGTGGTCTGGGAACTGGAGGCCGAACGGAGCTGGGGGTCACCGGGGGTCACTGTGTGTGCGTGTGTCTCTGCTGCAGGTGAGCCGTGCATCTTTGCCGGTGGGAGGTGGCTCAGCCCCCCGCAGTTCGAAGTGCTCGGGGGGAAGGGCAAGGCCAAGAGCTGGAAGAGGAGCATCTTCTGTCGGAGGGTCCCTCTGGGTGAGCTGCTGCAGGTAAGGCGGGAGAGAAGACAGCACGTCAGCTCTTCTTGTGCTCTCAGGGGCTGGAAGGTCCCAGGACTCACCCCACGGCCCCACAGAGACACACGACACAACGCCCTGTTCCTCCGCTGCCTCTCGCTTGACCGAGGCTGTCTGACCACTTTCAGGGGGACCCGCCCGCCGGCGCCGGCGCCGCCCCAGAGCGGATGGCCACGCGGTCCCAGAGCCGGGTGAGTCCGCCGGACCTGCTGCCGGGACACGGGCGTGTAGGCAGGCGGAGGGTGTTGGAATGGGCCTGGACCGGCCCAGTGCGGCTGCCGGTGTCTCTCCAGCTCTGCACCCCACCTTTTATCCCATTCCCTCTCCACCCTCCTTACCCCTCATGTAGATTACTCACTCGAATTACTCTCGCCTTTTGGGGGTCCTTGCCTTTTGGGGGTCCTCGGCAAGATCTTGGAAAGGGGCCCCCCCAGATCCCGACCTGCACAGACCCCCCTGTTATCAGCTCCCAGCTCCACCGTATTTCCCTCTTTGTACAACTAGAAAATGTCTTCACCAGCTTCCAAGAATAGTAATAAATACGATACATGAAGCACACATTTTACAAGGACAAATCTTAACATTGAAGTGATTAAATAGGAACAAGAAAAACAGTTAACCGAAAATGTGAATTGTCTTTTTTCTCATGATTTTCCTTTCTCCAAGGATATGAACTTTCGGACATCCACGGCGAAGAAAAGAAAGAGATTCCACTCTCCGCAGGGTGTGAGTATAAACACACACAGGCTGCCTGCAGGCAAGGGAACACACTGTCCCAGACACACACACCTGACACACACACCTGACACAGACACTCCACACTCCTGACACACACACCTGACACACAGTCCACACTGCTGACACACACACTCCACACTCCTGACACACACACTCCACACACCGGACACACACACTGTCTACACACCTGACGCCCTGGGCACAGTCTTGACACCCTGTCCACAGCAGGATCTCCAGCTCCATCAGTCTGTTCGATCCAGTTCACAGGAACTTCAAGCCGTCGAGATACCCAGTGAATGGAATGAATAGGACTGAGGTAGCACAACACATGCCTCAGGACACCCTGCAGTCATGTACCTTACCAGTATTCACTGGGCACCAGCACGCTCTGTAACAGACTGGAGAGCCTGCAAAGTGTCCACTGACGTGTGTCCTCTGTGTAACTGCTGTCTTTCAGGGAAGTACTGAGCTGCCCAGTCAGTCCCAGAGCGACAGTTCAGGTTTGTGTCAGTACCTGTCAGCCTGCCTCTCCTTCTATATTTTCAGCGAGCTCTGAAAGTGCCTTTGAGAATTCTCTGCAGTGAAAGGCGCAATAAAAGAATAAAATGTATTCATTGATTGATTGATGGAGGGATGGATGGATGGATGATTGGGTGGATGGACAGATTGATAGACTGACTGATTGATCGATTGATCGAGTGATGGATGGATGGATTGATTGATGAGAGAGGAGAGTAAACCCCTGTATCTGTCCTGTGTGTCACAGACTCGGAGGACAGTGACCTCGACTGGCGGGAGGACAAGGACAGGAAGGAAGAGGAAGACTCCGAGCAGAGCAGCTCTTCCTCGTCGGAATCGGAATGGGAGGGGGAGGGGGGGAAGGAAAGGGAGAGGGTATGGAATGTGTCTGCCCTCTCCAAAGTCCTGGCGGTGAGCTGTGGATCAGCCACTGGGAAACTCCACAAGGAGCGCTTTGCCAATGGTGGGTGGCTCTTCAGGAATTCTCAGACCTAAATAACGTTTATCTCACCTCGTGTATCAGCGTGTGTCTCCCAGACTACCATCTGCCTGACAGGAACACAGAGAGTCCAGTTCAGCCCAGTGAGGTCTATTTCCATTCTTACTGATCCCTCCAGTGCGGAACTGACCCAATTACCAGCTTAATTAGTCCTAAATAAACCCTGAAAAACTGAGCTGAGGGCCAGTCAGCTTCCTCCTTGGAAAGGGTACCCCAGGTGTGACAGACTGCTGTTCACTTTCGCCGACAGAGTTCCGGGGCAGGTGCATCAGGATGCCCGACAAGTGGTGCACCCCGCTGGAGTTCTACAGGACGGGGATGGGGGACGGCGCCAGCGACACCAGCTGGGCACGAGAGATCCGGCACGACGGAAAGCCCCTGGCGTCTCTCATCGAGGTGGAGTTCAGCGCCGTACCTGCCCTGCGGCTTCCTCCTGACAGCAGGCAGGGGAGGGCCGCTTGGCCTTCAGGCTGCGAGGGGGGCATGCTTTCTGTATGACTTCTGCCGGAAAACTGCAGCTGTGTGCTGAACTGGGCTCTCCGTGGTTCTTTCAGAAAGGCGTGCTGGAGACCCACGAGGAGGACTGTGCGTGCCCAAAGTGTGTCAGCAGCTCCCAGACTGGGGTACTCTGCCTCCGACACAATTATTCTAAAACACCGTAGCCCTGTACCTCCGCCCCCTGTCTCATCTGGCCGGACTGGAGCTGTGTTATACAAATTAGAAGCACATTCACATTAGACTGTTTCAAACCTTTTTCTTTTTAAAATGAACACTGTAATTCATCTTTCTGGGGACGAGGTCCACACAGCAGCTTTGCTCACTGAAGTTAAGAGCCCCTGGATGGCCGCCCCAGCCGCTGCAGAGACAGAAGGGGCGTGTCTTGCAGCCCCGCTGGAGGTGAGACCTGAGCCCGATGTCTTCCTGTGCATCGACTCTGCAGACGCAGGCCCACAAGTCCCAGGAGGACAACGACGACCAGTGCCAGGCCTGCGGGCTGGGGGGCGACCTGCTGTGCTGTGATGGGTGCCCGCGGTCCTTCCACAGAGACTGCCACCTGCCGCCCATCACCGTGCCCAGCGACCCGGAGTAAGAGCCACAGACAGCCTGAGGACTTTCCTCTCTGTTCTCACTTAAAACACAGCAGTGCAATTCAAGACTTCCTCTCAGACGATGTCGTACCTTCTAGGATGTTATTGGAATGTATTCTAGGACGTCATTGGAATACCTTCAATGATGTCATAGAATAATATTCCCACCCTGCCCCCCCACACCCTCGTGAAGATTTGAGATAATGACAATAAAATGCTATTTAGCTCGAAAGATGTGCATCTTTCTGAACTCAAATGAAGTGCATTGGGTATTTTCTGGGAAATTCTGGGAAACAGGAATTCAGTGTTGTGCTATGTGTTGTTTTCTCAGGGCCAAGTGGATCTGCACACTCTGTGAGCCACCCAAGACCCAGAAGCCCCTCCGTAGCTTCCAAAGTGAGACTGCAGTGCTGCGGTTGAAGATGGAAGAACATCGCGCGGTAAGGGTCTCCCCACTCTGTGCTCTGCTATTCTGCCTGGCCTTTCAGTAACAGTCGCCCTGCTCTGTGCTCTGCTATTCTACCTGGCCTTATGGTAAACGTCTCCCCACTCTGTGCTCTGTTACTTTGACTGGTTTTTAAGTAAAGGTCTCCCCCACTCTGTGCTCTGCTACTCTGCCTGGCCTTAAAGTAAGGGTTTCCATAACTCTGTGCTCTGCTGTTTACTAGTTTGCTGTTTACTAGTTTGCTAGTTTACTAGGCTCCTGTTTCTGCAGAAAGACAGACAGTACTATTGTTCGGCTTCTGACCTGGGTCATTGTTTTTACCATTTTTTTCAGAAATGCCTGTATCTCCTCCTCACGCTGTACTGCCACGAAAACAGCGGACACTTCAGTAAAAATCCCTGCAGTGTAAGTAGCGTTACTACGTCAAGTACAGTACTGGCCCAGAGGTCTGGAATTGAAGACTCCATTCTTCATTGCTTGTGCAGCAATGAAAGGAAACATTAAAATAATCAGATAGATTATGAAAATTAATTTCATGATGACAAGTTTTCAAAACGCTACAAATGAGTTGTATTAATAAAAAGCATCTTTCTTTATGTCATACTACGTTCAAGAGCAATACCCTCATTATAATTTATAATGTCTGTGAAATCATTCCATGGTCAAGTCAGAGTCACATGGTAGAAGTGAGGTCTGATCATCAGAAGGCCCAGTGCAGGTGACTGGGATCAGTTATTTGACAAGGGAGCAGATCTGGGACTGCTTTCGGGATGCTGTGTTTGTGATCAAGCCTGCCTCTGCCCTACTGTAGCTTGAGAAGTACTGTGACATCATCAAGCACCCCAAGTGGCTGGACCAGGTCAAGAAGGGGCTCCTGCAGCAGAAGTACCAGCAGGTGGGCCAGTTCGTCCAGGACGTCCGGCTCATCTTCCAGAACTGTGCCCAGTACAACAAGGTGAGAACCTGGGAAGGTCTAGAGTTCTTCTTCCCTGAGCAAAACAACACTCTGGAACTAATGGGGATGTCCACACAAGCTCTGAGGCTGCTGTTCTATAAACACTGACACTGAGTTCTAGTGCAAAGAGTGTCTCTATAGAAGCAGCTAGTAAAGATTTCATGAATGGGGGTGTACTGGGAGGAGTTGGGGTTCTTTAGCTAATACAAAGTCCCAGAGTGACTGGGGATCTCTGTGACACTGACTGACACAAGACTTGGAGTGTCTCTACAATATGAACACGTGAAGGGTTCCAGAACATCAGAGTATATCTCAGAGTGAATATGAACTAGCACAGAGTTCTGAAGCAAGGCAGGGGGGAGTGATAATTAGTATGAAGTTGTGTCTAAGATATTAACTAGTACAGAGCAAGACACCTCTGCTATCCTGCTCCTCTGCTGGGGGCTTTGGGGGAGGGTATTGCCTGATTCAACTGATGTTTGTACCGTCTGGCCTGCAGGACAATAAGGCATACAGAATCATGGGAAGAGAGCTCCAGGGGATCTTCGAGTCTAAACTGAGAGACGTGTTTCCCATCCGGTGCCGAGAGAGGAAATGCAGTTAAACTCTTGTCTCTGTCCGACAGGTGCACTGATAAGTTGCACGCTGAATAGCACACTTGATCCACTTTCCTGTCATTTATCCTGTGTGTCAGTTTTGCTTGTACTCTTGTCACTTTTTCATGTCAGTGTGTGCTTTTCCACCAGTGTCAGAGACTCTCATCCGTTTCAATAAAACAAGCTGTTTCAGCCAAACGAGTCTGAAATGCTTCACGTGATAAAGAACAAGAGAGATCAATTAACAAAATCAGACCACAGACGTAAACAGCAACAATACGTTACATACATTTTACTTCTAATCAAGCAATACACTACACTTATAATCAGTTTGCAAAGAACTCAAATTGCTGGAAGGTTGAAATATGGAAAATAAGACAGTTTATAAAAATACACCTTTACACCTGTTTGAAAATCATCAGCAGGGTCCTTGACAGACCCAAGAAGAGAGTTCCAGGACTCAGGGTTTATGGAGCAGAGGGCATGCAGATAAGGAGTGAGACAGGTGCCGCAGCAGATCCCTGAGGGACGCCAGAGGTAGCAGACCTGACACCAGTCTTAATTCCCCCCTGCTGGTACAGACCGGTGTACTTAGGCTACCTCCGAGTCTACCACTCTACCACTAGAGTCCTCTCCTGCCCTCGAGCTCAGGAGTCCCGCCGGCATCAGAACAGCTTCCAGAGGCGACGCCCCTCCTGCGCCTACGCCCTGCCTGCATCACGGTGGAGTGTCAGGGCAGCCTG